GTCCATAATCTTTATAGGCCTTTCCTCAAAGCTTGCATCTTCATTAAGATCAATCTCTCCCCAATTGATAACATGTGAAGGGTGTGGCTCATATTTTCATAACATTGAGATGTGAAAGACATTGTGCACTGCTGCGAGCTGTGGTGGTAGTGCTAGACGGTATGCTACCTCTTCTACTTTGCTCAGAATTTCAAAGAGTCCCATATAACGAGGTACAAGTTTTCTTTTCTTTCCAAATAGCGTAGTACCTCGATGAGGTCGAACTTTGAGTAAAACATAATCGCCTATCTCAAAAGTTAAGGGCCGTCTCCTTTGATTTGCATAACTCTTTTGTCGACTTTGGGCTGTGATTAGTCGTTTGCATAGCATAAGGTATGCTGAATTTAAACGTGCCCTAATCTACCATCATAAGCAGGTATATAAAAGGGAAGAAAGACGTGAGGTTGGAAGACATACACACACTCACGCACACTTATTACAGATTTGCCCTCGCTCGGAGGGACCGAATAAATATTACAAATTAATTAACTACGCAAGCTAATTAATATTACAAATTGCCTAATTTAATTGACAAATTAAATAGACTAAGAAAAATAGTAAAACGCCTCGAGAAGCGCGCCGCCATGCACAAACTGCCTCTGTTTTCCTTCCTTCACTCCTCTGGAGGCTGTCAAAACCTTAGGGTTACATCCCTGGGCATTGGGGAGTACCACCGGCTGAGTAGGATCATCACCGGCACTGGTATGTGGCCATCGGCACAAAATTGAAGCTGTCGGCTGAGAAAAGATTGCCGGCCGGCACCTTACACTGCCGGTCGGCAAAGAAAGCCTGCAGAACCTGCAACTCACAGCAACAGAGGGCAAAACAAGGCATGGCAGCACAATTCAAGGCATGTATGCACCAACCATGTCCCTTATCATGATAATGACTCAAAGGGGCATGTGCCTCGATTTTCGGACCACCAATCACGCATTTCCATGCATGATGGCCCAAAGAATCAAGTATGCAGCTTTGGTTTCAAATGAAATGCAAACCAAATCAAATCATAGTCCTAAACCCTATCACCAAATCAAGGGGCAAGGAAAGCATGCAAAATGCAATGCAACCTAAGCATACAAACTAAGGATGCAACATGGCATGGTGACAAGCTTATGCAAGCATACAAGCATACATATGGCAATGCAAACTAATGGAAAGATGGACTTATACATGGATTAGGCAGCTCTAATAACGCCCAAAACAGTAGCCATAATGCCCAAAAATGAAGGCTAAACATACATACACACATACACATGTTAAGGTCCAACACTTAGGCACAAAGCAAGCAACATTCAAGCACACTTGAAAGAGACATTCTGGACTAGTTAGCATGCAACATAAGCATTGAAATCATGCTAAAACAAGGTGCCGAACCACGCAATAAATCAAGCCAAGCATGCAACAAATGGCCCAAATGCTCAAAGCGAACCAATAGAGTATTGAACTACACTTAGCAAAACCAAACATGGCATGAACTTATTGACCAAAAACAGAGTTTTGGGACATTAATACAAGGCCTAAGGACCACTGAGATGGCATCCAAATGACTCAAAAACAAAGGCATGCATAATCACCAAAACATGGAGCATGAGATGACAACCTTACAAGGCATTAAAGGGACATCAAATGCAAGCTCTCAAGCATACAATAAGGTCTGAAATGGCATGGTAGATGGTCCCAAATCACCAAAACAATGCAAGGATGGCATGCTATACATTCACATACTTAAGGCCAACAAGCCGGAATGCAAAGAGGCTATATGATGCATGCCAAATTCGACCCGAACAACCTAGGACAGACCTAGAACATGGAAAACTATGCACAAAATCTTCATAAGGCCAAGCCTAAAACATGCTCTAACAAGGGCTAACAACCTAAGGCACATTGAGGCAATAATAAGGCATTATATGGCAACTATGCTAAGCATGCATGGGGTACCAAAACCAAGTAAAAACATGTTATATTATGGATATATAAGCATGAAAAACAGCCTAAACATGCTCAACACACACTCAAGCATAGGCTCTCTTTAGAGACCAAAATATGCCCTTTTCAAGGACAACAAGGAGAGGGGGTGGCCCTCTCCTTCTTGGGACTTCAAGGCATCACCTTCACCACTGAAATCTTAGTGGTGAACGGACCCCAACACCAAAATCCCGGAGCTAGCACAAAAGGGCACAAAATGAGGCCTTTTAAGGCCTAAGGGCGTTCAAACTTACCCAAACCACAAAACACTCTTAATAAACAATCAAGAGGACTAAAAAATAGAACTTTTTTGTGTTATACAATAAGCACGAAAATAGCTCTAAGATAGGTAGAAAATTAATGAAAAATGGGGAAAAAGGAGACTAGGTTCTCACCCTTGAAGACCCCTTCACAAATGGTGCTCTAATGGCCTCCTTTGGCTTGAATCCAACACCAAAACTTCAAAATCAGTCCCTTAGAACCTCAGTTCCAAGAGGAAGGTGAAACACTATGTGTTTGTGTGCAATAGTATGGACTAAACACAATAAAACACACACAAGAGGGAAAAAGAGAGAGATAAGGTGTAACAAACCCTAACCCTAGATCTCAAACCCTTACAATGGCTGTCTAAGCTCTCAAAATATCTTAAAAGTCTCTCCCCTTGTAAGCCAAGAGACACCCTAGCTTTTTGTCTTGTAAAGCTTACAAGACAAGCTTCATAAGAGGGAGATCCCTCCATACACGTGTACGGAGGGGAGCAAAAGCAAGACAGCTGTCTTCAAATATCTGCAAAAGCATATGCACAGCAATCGGTCGGCCAAAAATGCCATCTTGGCCAAAAAGAGTGCCGACCGGCACTAAAAAGTGCTGACCGGCAAAAAATAGTGTCGGCCGGCAGGTAACGGACTTAGATGAGGTGGGCGGGAGGATGACCTTGTTGTCGATCAAATCTTGCACTTCATGACGAAGGCGGAAACAACCATCGGTACTGTGGCCGGACTGTTGGTGGTACGCGCAGTACAAGGCAACATC